ATTTGTCGTTTAGTGTCGCCGATTTGATCTTTTCGGCCGCGTTACATTTTAATTCATAAACTGTAACTGTATCTTAGTTTGTTTGGAGTTCAATTTTTAGCACTTTGGTTTTTTTTTTCTGTCTCTGGTCTTATGTATGAAACGATCAGCGAATTTCTGGTAAGCTCCCCACCCCTCTCCCAACTTCCGGCTTCCCACAGCTTTTCTTATTCAAATGGCTGATGAAATGAATTGCATGTATTATTGCCAATTTTAGGATGGCATAGATTTTACGTACATTACTTCCTATGGCCTCTCCTCTTTATGACGTTTTGGGATCAATTCCAACACTAAGGTAGTTTTTAGAAATCATTTCTAAAATTGAATTTTCTATGTTTTGATCCAAGTATATCTGTTGAGTGAAGGCTTTACTCAGTAACACCTTCTTCTTTATGCATTAAATTTGGCGTTGTATGGTTTTTCCTTAGTGATATCCTTCAATTCATTCAGTCAGTCATTTTTCCACCGTACCCGTCTATAGAGTGTAAAGGACCTTTTGGGCAACTACCTGAAAGATGCCTCTGTGTAGTTGTCGGCATAGCACCACATTGTGGTTCATCTACAACCAGCTATGTTTTCTGCAGGAAGATCGATGGCAGTGGAATTGCCAAAGGAAAAACCTTCCAGCTACAAACTTTAAAGAAAATTTTTTTTTGGAAAAATGAAGAGGTAACAAATGGAAAACTCAAAGTTGGGTGTATTCTGGAATGTCAGATTCACACGAGCTATGCGGAGTTCGTCTCTTTTCGCTGGAATGTCTGTTGTGAACGAAAGGTAAACTTTTACTACTATATCAACAGTACAGTTGTCAGCTGATTTTTGAGAAACTTACATTGTCCAAGTGTTCTTAGACCCCCTCTCATTGATTTGGATCCCCACCCCCCCCCCCTGCAAAACTTCTCTGTTTTAATTTGCTCTTCATCATGAATTCATTCAGCCTTTTTTTGTGTGTTTGAAAACTTGACTTTTCACACACTCTTGATGAGCAACAACTACAGTTGTGAAAGCCCTTGAAATATGATATTTTTCTTGCATGTTAAATATATCTTTGCTTATAAAATGTAATAAAGTTCACATGGCAACCAGGTGGACAAGCAGACATGGTTGATGCTACTCTGGTTCAAAGATTTAATGAATGAAACCAAGACATTACAATTCATAGACCCAACATTTTGACTCTCCTGTCTAGTGCCTTTGTCAGGGGTCACCCCTTTTTCAGTCTTAAAATTACCATGTACTTTTACCCTCAATGAACACCTTAAATATTGCGAAACCCATGTAAGAGATGTCCTGTGGACCTATCATGGACATCTTAGGGATCTTATTGCTTCAGCTTATGGTCACTTCTCTGATTGCAGAGTTTGTAATTGAATAGTCACCTATGCAAATTGATGACACTAATGAAAATTTCAAATATGTGGGGCCACATCCAGAATTTGTGCGGGTTAGACAACCTTTTCATTCATTACTCAGAATACATGTACCTGAAGATCTGTTCTGCAAACTTTCTTATGTATTCTATTGAGCATATTTTGTCTTGTTCCTTGCTCTAAGTGCTCTCTATATGTTTTACAGCACCAGCCTGGACTAGTTGTCGCCATAGCACGAGATTGTGGTTCATCTACAACCAGCAATGTTTTCTGCAGGAAGATCAATAGCAGTGGAACTGGTGAAGGAGAACCCTTCCAGCTACAAAAGTTAGAGAACAGATCTTTCTGGACAAATGAAGAGGTAACCAAGGAAGGACTCAAAGTTGGATGTCTTCTGGAATATCAAGTTGAATCAAGCTGTCAAAGCCACCTAAGAAGATCCAGCAAGCTGTTTATTTTTTGCGGGAATGTCAGTTGTAAACCACAGG